TGTTTAATCTTCCAGTAATGCATAATTATGACCTGTCTTGTTTTTTCAGGGCAATCACGTGTTTTGAGCACCTGTCCCAGCAAAAACAGTTCCTGGGATGTGTCTAGCATACCTGGCAACCACAGGAACAAGAAAAGGTTGGCAGGCATGGTACTGGCAGCTTGCACCAGGGCCTGCAAATAGGAGAAAGGAGAAGAGGAGATAGACATGGACTGGTGGTGGGCTACTCTGTTTTGGACCCAGACGATTTGACAGCTGAAGCTACATTACAGTCCAATCCCTGATCAATGTTCACATCTGGCTGTGGAGTGATCATGTAGGCAAATGGTGCCGTTGTGTACCAGTAGGTGCTTGTAGTAGCTCCAACAGACAAGCATGGTAGATTATCTTCAAATTTACCTTGTGGTGATCAGGTTTTAATCTGTCTAAATGATGCTGGTGTTCACAATATTAGTAGAGCACCCGTAATCACTCATAAGCCTTGACCATCAGTGGGTGTCATTTTTCTTCCCCCAGCCGCTTGTAGATCTGTCAGTATATGAGTATGTATATGTGCAACTCTCTGTGTTTGTGCATCTCTCTGTATGTTCAACAGTGTGTTTGTGTGTGTATATATGAGTAACAGTGTGTGACAGCAGGTGTGTGTTAGTGTCAGCGAGAGTGTGTGTGTCAGTGTGTGGCACTTACATTAAGTTAGCAATAATTATTATACAATTATGATACTGATATTCAGTCAAAATGTCTGAAGCATCTGTCTCATTACCGAACACTGAAGTAATAGAGGTGGTTTAGTTGAAGCCCTTGGATTGCATACTATTGCACATCTGCATAAAATAAAGCAATTGTTTGCTTTAGTTCAAGTCCTTGGAGTGCTGCCCTTTATGTTAGAATTTTCAATTTACATTTTTTACAACTGTATATCTGCATTGTGTGACAACATGCACTGTAGGGCTGGTATAACAAACCAAAAATCCCAGGGTTGATTTTTATTCTTATTTCTTATTTATTATAGCAGACTGATGCAGTACACAGAGGCCATCGCATCTGCCACTGCGACCGTGCTGACCAATAACATTTAGGGTTATGTAAAAAAAAGTGAAGTGAAACAAAATACTTTTTTGTCAGAATAAGACAAAAAGAGGCAAAAAAAAAAAGAGGCAACAGAAGAGAAAAACAGACAGAATTAATGAATTGTGCCATAAAAGTGTTGATGATGATTTTACTCAGATTGACCATTTCGGCCTAAATTTTAACACGTCGTCGTTGATACACAACAAATCGCAGTTAAGAGGAAACCGAATTCCTGTTTCAATTCATGTCTATTTAAACAGCAACACACATACAGATACCATTTCGACCAAACAATGGTAATGAAAACAAATAAATCAGGTACTTGTCTTGCATTTGAATACTTTACTAATCCAATATTTTTCTTGGAATGCAAGATTGGGCCAAGAGCTATTGATAGATTTGATTTTCAGTAAAATACACAATTAAACATTTTGGTTTAACATCATGCTCAGCAAAGTTTACTGGTTAATTACATGTTAATTAATGAAACTGTTAAACCTTTGCCAGATCTGGGGCCTTTTTATACCATTTTGGATTTACTTCTTCTGAAAGGCAAAAAGTTCCTCTGAATTTAACCCTTTCAGCACTGACAGGGTTTAATGTAGAGAACAGAGATGATCCGTTCAACACAGTCAGTGCAGGGCGGAGTGAATAGCTTATTGTATTTTTCTGGAAGTGATTTTATCAATGTCGTTAGAACATTCATTGAAGTAAGTGAGAGATCCATCACCCGCTGACAGCTCCCTGCTCACTAATGGCTGTTAGATGGTAATCATTTTAATATGGTTTTTATTTCACTTAATTTCATATGTGCCTGACAAAAGGTCCTGTATCATCGGGGCTCTGTGTGGAGCCGCTAATAGTCTCCTGCGATGCTCCATTACATCCACAGTAACTGCAGAGACACAGAGAATCCTTAACAGTGGAAATGTCAGGAGACACTGGCTTACCAAAAATGTGTAGTGGATTCATTGCCTAGCCTTCCGGTAGATGTGGTAAAGGTTAGAAAAGCAATATACTTTTTTTTGAGAAGGGTTAGATATTAGTTATGATGTGGATAATAGGTATTGAGCTTTACATTATTCTAGATAAAAATGAGCTCCAACTGTCTACTATATATATATATATATGTATGTAGCATAGTCCTTACTGTCCAACCGATCATGTAGGACATAGAGGCTCTGGGTATCCAACAGAGGACATCTGATCTGAACTACTACTCCTATAATTCTCTGTTAGTTTCAGGCTGATTGGTACGTAATAACTAGAACAGGTGACACACGTTCTTATGATTGAAAAGTAACAGGCATTTATTATTTTACTTATTTTTGAGTTTGTTCAATCACTACATACATACTTTTCAAGGAATTATATGATGTACAAGGCCCCGCCCCATTTGTGACATCATCAAAATGGACAATTTTTAGCCAATCCATTGCTTTCCCATAGGGACATAGGACCTCATCATAGAGATGCATTGAATCAATGCATTTCTATAAGGAAAGTTCAGCGTCTCCATGCAGCTTTTCGGGACGCTGAGCGTCCAGGCTGCTTTTTTGGAAGCACTGACCCAGGAAGCACCTCCAGTGGCCATCTAAGGAGTGGCCACTTGGAGGTGTTCCTAGAGGCAATCTAAACACTGCCTTTTCTCTGCTACATTAAGCTGTAGTTGTTCTGGTGACTATAGTGTCCTTTTAATCTCTCCCATTACCTTTGCATGCTATTACTCATCTACCAATCAACTAAATGATCGCTGAAGTACTTATTGATCTGAGAACAGTCAGTTCTAAAATGTAAAATGTATGTCTTTGTTAGCACTTTGCTTTACTTTGAATAATTGATTCAGGTATTAAAAAAGGGATACAAAGCACAAACTCAAAGAGTTAGAAGGTGTTTAGGCGCTTCTAGTGATATATATGGTGTATGTAAATACAGGTGTTCCCAATCACCTTACATATACAAATAGCAGATATATGTGATAATACAATTACCACATCAATACAACACCCAATGTGACACTTATATGCAGGGGCGGACTGAGAGCCTTTGGGGCCCCCGGGCAAAATTAGATCCCAGGCCCTTTGAAGGCCAAATATATGTGCATTTTAATAAATGTTAAATATAATTCATAATACGGCATTCCTTTGGATGTGTGTATTGTGAAGACCTGTGTATCAATGCATGTTTGTATTTGAGTCTGTGTGAATGCACTTGTGCATGTCTGGATGACTACATGTGCTTTTTTGTATATAGTGTCTGTGTGAATGCATATGTGACAGGTGACAGAGTGTGTGAGGGAGAAGGTGACAGGTGGAAGAGTGTGGGAGGTTGTGACAGGTGGCAGAGTGGGGGGGTACCTGGTGGCAGAGTGAGGGAGGGAGGGGTTGAGTGGTGGCAGAGTGAGGGGGAGACACAGTGAGTGGGGGTGACTAGTGACAGAGGGAAGGAGAGGGGGAGACTAGTGACAGAGTGAGGGAATGGGTGACTAGTGGCAGAGTGAGGGAGGGAAGAGATGACTAGTGGCAAAGTGAGGGAGGGAAGGGGTGACTAGTGACAGAGAGAGGGGATGACTGGTGACAGAGTGAGGGGGGGTGACTGTCACTAGTCACCCCATCCCTCTCTCTGTCACTAGTCACTCCCTCACTAACTCTGTCACTGTGTCACCCGCTCCCTCACTCTGTCACTAGTCACCCCCTTACTCTGTCACTGTGTCACCCCCTCCCTCACTCTTTCACTAATCACCCCCTGTCCCTAGTCACCCCCTCCCTCTCTCTGTCGCTAGTCACCCCATCCCTCTCTCTGTCGCTAGTCACCCCATCCCTCTCTCTGTCACTGTGAAGGAAGGAAGGGGTGACTGGTGACAGAGTGAGGGGATGACTGGTGACAGAGTGAGGGAAGGGATGACTAGTGGCAGAGTGAGGGAAGGAAGGGATGACTGGTGACAGAGAGAGGGGGTGACAAGTGAGAGAGGGGGTGACTAGTGACAGAGTGAGGAAGGGGGTGACACAGTGAAGGAGGTGGTGACTGTCACTAGTCACCCCATCCCTCCCTCTGTCACTAGTCCCCCCTCCCCTCCCTGTCACTAGTCACCCCCTCCCTCACTCTGTCACTAGTCACCCCCTTCCTCTCTCTGTCACTAGTCACACCCTCGCTCACTCTGTCACTAGAGTGAGAGGGTTACTAGTGACAGAGTGAGGGGGTGACTAGGGACAGAGTGAGGGAAGGGATGATTAGTGGCAGAGTGAGGGAAGGAAGGGGTGACTAGTGACAGAGTGAGGCGATGACTGGTGACAGAGTGAGGGGGGGAGTGGGTGACCAGTGACAGAGTGAGGGAGGGGGTGACACAGTGACAGTGAGGGAGGTGGTGACTGTCACTAGTCACCACCTCCCTCACTCTGTCCCTAGTCACCCCTTCCCTCCCTAACTCTGTCACTAGTCACGCCCTCGCTCACTCTGTCACTAGTCACGCCCTCCCTCACTGTCACTAGAGTGAGGGGATGACTAGTGACAGAGTGAGGGAAGGGGTGACTAGTGATAGAGTGAGGGAGGTGGTGACTGTCACTAGTCACCACCTCCCTCTGTCACTACTCCCTCCCTCCTTCTGTCACTAGTCACCCCCTTGGTCCCCTACTCTGTCACTAGTCACCCCCTAACTCACTCTGTCACCAGTCACCCCTTCTTTCCCTCACTCTGCCACCAGTCATCCCCTCACTCTAGTGACAGAGTGAGGGAGGGTGTGACTAGTGACAGAGTGCGGGAGAGGGTAACTAGTGACAGAGTGCGGGAGAGGGTAACTAGTGACAGTGAGGGGGGGTGGAGGGTGACTAGTGACAGTGGGGGAGGGTGGAGGGTG